CATATAGATGCTTGATACATTAAGAACGACTGAAATAATAATTTGAGTAATAATTAATATGTATTTGTTACTTTATAGATTTAATAGATATTTATTGTTACTTTATTAACGTTTTTATGCTTATACTGTGAGGTAAAAATGGCTGCTGCTGTGATTTTGCCTTGTTTATGAGCTTATCCTAATTTTAGGATCTTCTTTTTAATAAATTCTTGAAAATGTTAAAAAAGAGAGGGGGGGCTGGCAAGGATGTTTGCCCCAGAGCCCATGATGGCTCTTGACGTTCCTGTGCTTATTATTACACTTCATATAGGGTACTCAGAGGATAAGAAACAAGCTCTGTTTTGATTGTTTTCTTTATTATAATCATTTAAAGAAAGACCATAATTATTATTGACAGAAATTTTTCATTAAAGTTTCAAAATGTACTTACAGGTTGGATTAATGCTGAACTTACTAGAAATTACTCTCAGAATTCAAGAGTCTAAAGTGATGAAAGAAAACATTTGAAATTCCAACCAGAACATTATGTAATCTTATATCTTTATCAAATTTTCACACAAAAGTAAAATTAATAAGTTTAGATTATTAATGACAAAAAGCACTTTGAGTTTTTTTTTCAATAATTTTTAATTTCAGTTTGAAAATGGATGGAGTTATGGTGATTACTGGAACTATGAAAGAAAAATTCATCCCAGATTGAAACCCTATAACCTTCTGGCTGAATGGGTTTGTGGTTTAATAGATTATTTTAAAACTAATTATAGCAATTGTGTGTAAATGAGCAGACTTATCTCATACCTGTATACTTTTAGAGTTTTGTTTATATGTTTTAACACTGTGTATGTATATAATTTCTATAGCCAGTTGTCAGAAAATGCTTAATGCCGTTTTCAGTTTTATTTAGTGGCTATGATATTCTACAAATATGAATTTTGAATGAACATTTTGTGGCCTAATTTATACGTTTGTAAGGAATTTAACAAGTTTATATTTTTGGAATTGAGAATTTTCACATTTGTTATGAAGGAAAAAGAACGTTATAAAGAACCAATAAGGGAATCATTGAAAGCTTTAATTGCAATTGGTTGGAAGTTGGAGTTGGGAGATGGTGGAAAAAGTACCTTGTCTCATATTTCTTCAGTGGTAAGTCAACATTTTATTTTCATACTGGTCATTTCATGATTTTGTATAAGTATAAAGATAATAAATGTTATCGTGAGAATCATTGACTAGCAATATTTTATTGAGGCTTACAATTGCTTATTTTATAACTTAGAAAAATGTCCAGAAGTTCTCAAGTTTGCAGTATAATTTTTTAACTCTTCTCTTTCACTTTTGTATACTAAATTATTTATGAGAAAATTATCATGTTAAAGTTGGCATATAAAACTTTTTCTAATACTAATACAATCTTATGAACCTAAATATTATTTTGGTATTGTAATAAAATAATTTCTAAAGAGACAGTCAGCCTTTTGTTTACTGTATTATTTAATTAAAACATTTATTTTATTGTATATTATGCTCTAATATTTTATATTATTCATGCTAAACTGTAAACATTTCTAAAATGGATTGATCATGTAAAACCATCAAGTTCTGTCTTTTTTTTTATTGCTTACTCAAGAGGACAGTGTTTTATTATAAGGTAAAAAAATTTTATTTAAAACACTGTATGTGAAGAATTTTGTGTGTTTAGTTTTTTCTTAGGTTGGAGTTTGTAGACTATTAATTGTTGATGTTTGCAATGTGTGAGCTTCAATTTTATAGTTTGTGGTACATAAAAGCTTGCTTCTAAGAAAATAATATTGTGCATCTCATACCATTTTTCACTAAACTAAACTGTTTTTTGTTTATTTTGGTTACTTACTGATATTTAAACCTTTATTTTTTTATAGTCTGGTGACTCTCCACATAACTACAATCCTCAACCGGTAGATATGTCCAATCTCACATTAAGCAGGGATATGCAGGTGAATACTGATATGAATATTTTATTAAAATGTCTTGTTTTCCACAATAAATCTTTATTTTTTTAAATGATATGATATTCAAAAATACCAGTATAACTTTTTTGTAAAAATATATGTGTTGTTTTTAAATTCAGTTATTTAAATTATTTATATGAATTCTAAGTACAAGCAAAATTTCTTCTTTAAGTTCTTTGATAAGTCAAAATAGTTGTGTGTATTAATTATAAAAAATAGGTATATAAAAATAGTTATAAACTTTGTGAGTTTATTATATACAACATGTGTTTTCTTTATTGAATGTAAATTGTAGTGAGTCTTTGTGTTTATTATTTCACACTAGAATATGTCTGAAAGGTTAGCAGAAAATGCCCATGATTTGTGGGCAAAGAAGATGAAAGAAGAACTTGGTAAGCAATTATATAAAATGGTATAGGGTACTTGTTAGTTTATCAGTAATAATAATCTGTAAATGTATATGTAGTTTATAAAATTTATATGTATGTTTATACTCATGATATATTTTATGAAAACTATCTATATCATATATTAGAAAAATATTTTAAAACTTTTGTCCAGGTGGAGATCTTCATCCTCAGATGGTTCCTTATGATTTACTAACAGACAGAGAGAAACGTAAAAACAGAGAACGCTCGCAAGAGCTCCTGAAATATCTTCAGTATGAAGGATTTCAGGTTTATGGGTATGTGCATGATGTGTTGTGACTTGAAACAGTTTTATATCTTCCTAACTTATATATATTCTTTATAAATTTCAAACGAGGAATCGGCTGGCTTGTTAATATTTAACTAAGTTCCATTTATTCCTCATAATATACATTTCCAAGATTTAATTTAATACTTCCTTCTTTTATTAAGCATTTAAGGAGAAAAAGCAGGAATATGTGAATTAGTTTCTATGTATTATTATTGTATAGATAGTCATGGCAGTTTTACACAATGTCATGTATGGAAAGTTTTATTGAAATTGAGTCTTTAATCATATAAAGTTTAAAATATTAATATATAATTGGCCTAGTTCCACGTAATTACTTATATACTTATGTAATAATTTAACATTGAATATTATATTACTCCAAAAAGAATTATGAATAAACAGTAGTTTGTGTTATCTTTACAATACATTAAAATTTTGCGTGATCATTGAGAATACCTATACATGTTTTAACATAGGAAGTTAAATAAAAAAGGATAGGCTACTATAACAAAGAAATTACAGTCAGAAGTTTTTTATTTCCAAAGTTTAATAGTTTAATAATGGCTAGGTTAAGACATTACATTTATTGATTACAGCTTACATGTAATCAATCTGAAGTTAAACAAAAAAAATAATTTTATATCTTTTTTGTACCAATACTTTCAACTAATTTAAATATGAATTGTCTTGTTATAACCTCACAGGAAAAAGGGTTACCAGCATTGATATTATGTATGTCCATTAATACCCATAAGATACTTAATATAAGTTTAACTATGCCTATGATTTTATCCAATGAAACACTGAAATAGTTTGAATTCTAGTTGCGTTTACAGTATATTTATTAACAAGCTTTTAACATTAAAAATTTATAATTTATTACTTGTTTCTTCAAATATTTTCAATGCTCTTGTGGAACATATTAATGATTTTAATATTTTTAACTTTATTTTATAATTTCCTTATTATTTACAAAGCATTTTTAACATGTTTGCTTATTTTTATTAAAAATTCTGAGTTTCAATTAATTTTATTGTTGCATATTGCCATCACCTGCACCAGCTTTTGCATCTTTTTTTGTTTGGCTTTTAAATTCCAAGATTTTTATTTTCCTTGAATTATGATTATTGTTTTCTTGCTAATAGAATGCTAATTGTTTTTAATTATCCATGTTATTAAAACATGCCCATATTTTAGTAATGCACTATGTTAATTACCTTGCTATGAAATAATTAATCATTATCCCCTCAAGCTCTTATAGATGAAAAGACCATCTGTCATGATTGTTTGAAATATTCCCAGTGGTTTTAATGTTTCTATGTACTTTTCAACACATATTTCATTGATAGTAGAACTCACTAACACTTTAAAGCTTTCATTTTTTCAGTACAGTTTGATTTATTGAAATCTTTATAACAATTGTATTGTTATACCCAGTTCAATTAAGCATTTTTGATTGAAAGAAAAAAGTTTTTAACTTTTCTTATTACATAATGTCTAACTACCCATGAAGAGAAAAATCACCTTAATCCAACTAATATTTGTATTTTTTTTTATCCATCTAATTTAAGGTATATTTCCTACAAATAATGTACAATTGGAAATTAATTAATTAATAAAACTTTGACAGTGAAAGATCTACAGTATATTTATTTTGAAGTTTTAATAACTTACATAAACAATTTGGCATATTTTAGATCTGTTAAAAGTAAGGAATAATTATGAAAATACATATTGTCATTTACTGTAATATGACAAGCATAAAAACTGTAGCTTGGTTTGAACAGTATATATTAGAGAATTTTAATTTTATTATTTCATTTGTGAGGTTATGTCTGTATGCTCTCAGAGGTGATATTATTAGGCTAATGGGTTTTTTTGTTGTATATCTGTAGTTTGATTTCAATTGAAAGCCATTGTCATCATAATAATTGTGAATATGCATGAATGCCTGGTACAAAAATATTATATTCTATATTGTACTAATTAGATATAAAATTATTTTTCTGAAATACATTTCTTATACATAACAATTGGTCAGGAACAAGAATGTATTAGAAAAATTATATTGCATAAACTACAACACAATAAAACACATGTAGTTTACTTGAGTTAGAAAACTATAATTGTGCTCCCAGTAAAGGCTATGCTACAACTTGGAATAGTAACTTGAAAAAGAAAAATATGTCTTTGACACTTTTACATGTTAATATATTAAAGTGATATCTTAATATAATAGATTTATTTGCAGGTTTATTTATAGTTTCTGTGACTGTTTTGAGTATTTCAAAGTTACATTTCAATTTTGTAAACTTACCTGATGGTGCTTTCATAATCACACAAGTTTTTTTCTTCAATATTAATTACTATATGCTTTCTATATGAGCTGTTATGCTTTATTGACATTGTTTAAGCTTATTGCAGACTCTCCAGCAACTGTTTTACATAAAAGTTTTTTCATTATTTTTCATACAGTTTTTGTTAGTTTCAAATGTAAAAATTTCTGCTTTGAAAGCTGTTTAGAATATATAAGGTTCTTGAAATTTATGTTCTTTTTGGAAGTTTTTTTTGTGCATTATGATTTCAAACCTTGCATGTAGAACTCTACATTGAAATTGCTTTTTTTTCTTCTTTATGTTTTTATTGCCATGAACATCATATATTTTTGCCTTGTTTCATTTTCTGCTAAAATTTCCTGCATGTCTTACTATTTACTATGAACTGTGGGACTTTTCTTGGTGGCATGATTTGCACTGATTGGCTGCACTGCACACTCATCATCCAATGTCAGACTGCACCAGAAAGCTGAAGATACTCAAGATGTTCAAACTAAACCCAATGATTATAGAGCTAGAAAAAGACGTGGAACAGAGTCAGAACAAATATCATCACCTGCAGCAGGAGAAAGACGATTTGCATCCTCATTATTAGAGAAACTTCTACAGTATCTTGATGTGGCTGCTATTAACATGAAGGTTCTGAAGCCTAGTGCTAACTACAGTAGACGTAACAGCTTCAAAACATCCACAAGGGATGTCAAGTTTTTTAGCAAAGTGAGCTTTCTACTTTCCAGATATACTGTATTTAAACTAATTTCAAGACTTTATGTTCTGTGCAGTATTAAGTATTAGTATTTTGTTAGGTTCTATTTTAGATTTTCAGTACTGCTGCTTTATTCAGATTATTTACTTGAAAGAGATTTAATTTCACCAACAAAGATAACTTTTTTAATTATAACTTGTATTTAAATAATGAGCTTATTTTTTATTTAGTCAGTGAATGATAAGTTCTCTTTCCTTTTTTTCTTTATTTTTCTTTTAATTTGTACTTGATTTTAAGTTATCATATTTAGCAAATTTTTTTATGCATTTAGGTTGTATTGCCACTTATGGAGAAATATTTCTCTGCTCACCGTATCTTCTTTATAATGGCATCTTCACCTACAACCACGGTTGGAACAGCAACAATCAGAGAAAAAGAAATGGTTGCAAGGTAAGGTTTTATGCAGAAAGTTAGTTAATTATGTTCCAGTTTTGTCCCCTGTTGTTACGTGTGTGTGTGTGTATGTTTTGTTATAGCAAAACCACATTGGGCTATCTGCTGAGCCACCGAGGGGAATTGAACCCCTGATTTTAGCATTGTAAATCCATAGATTTACCATTGTTTCTGATTTGGTTCAACGTTTTTTTACTTAATAATACATTATTTCTTGAGAATGAGAAATTATGATAAAATATTTGTTATTTAAAAGAATTAGTCTCAAACCTTATCAAATAGATTACTCAATTACTTGGGATTCTGGCAATTAATTATAAGGTTAACATATTAGAAAAAATGGAGTTGCGATAGCTGTGTTAGTGCTAGACGCTCAACATTTTGGCAGTTAAGAGTAATGACACAAATTGGCAAATAGAAAAGCCTAATTTTTTACCACAGTGATGATGAAAATGTACAAACTATAATGAAACATTGCTAAGTTTATATTCTATTCCATTTGTCTTCTTTTTTCTCCTTCTGATTGGCTTATTAGAATATATATTTTTAACCTCGTATTTAAGTAGATAACACATTTCTCTGAAGTATTTTGAATATTGTAACTACTAAGTCTTGACCATGTTTTATTTATATTGTCAATCTGCAGAATTTAATAACTTTTTGGTAATGTCAGCTCCAATAGCTTATAGTTTTGCCATATTTTTTTATTTGAGAATGACCTATTTAGATAACTCATGCTGCATCTTGCATAAAACATATTATGAGAATAATAACTCACTCACACAGAAAATTGTTATGGTTACAGGTGCTGTAGATTTGCTGAAATGCAAGAAGGTGAAAATATGTTGCACCATTTACAGACCAAGACATTAAAAACAATTCAGCTACTTTTAAATCTATAATCAATAATTTTATGCACTGGCTATATTTAGATTATTTGTAAAACAATTTTAGTGGCTTTTTTTATGCTATTATTGTTACACACATCCAATAATGTATTTTTAGATGTGGTAGTCTCTTGTCTTGATAACAACCAGGTACTGTTTTAATGTTTCCTATCATTACTAAATAAGTATTGATCTTTGGGTTATAACATTTTGAGCCATCAGCTATGTCTATTGACTGTTACACAATATAATTCTACATTTTGAAAGCTATTCTAAATTTTGTGTTTCAGCTTTAGCACTGGATTGATAATAAGGTCAGGAAGTATCGAAATTGCTGCCATGTTTGATAATATCCCTCATTTAATAACATCACTATCTGATCTTGCATAGCATTAATGGACGGATTAACATAGCCATTGAAATCATGTTATAACTGGTGTAAATATAGACATTATGATAGAATAATAAATGTATGTTAGTTTTTGTTGCAAATTGAGTATATTTGTGACTAATTGAAATTAAGAAATTTTATTTACATTAGCAACTTGGCTAAGACCTTTTGACCTTAGTGTTAACACAGTTAAAGATAGTTTGTAGTAATCAGATTCTATTCCAATATTTTATTTCAAACAGTAAAAGTTAATCACATGGAATATGTTGTTTGTTTAACTAATATGTTTTCATACACATCATTATCGTAGATAAAATTATATAGTTAAAATTATCTAACATTTTGATGTGCATTCTTGAAATAGCTCAGTTTTAACGTTTCAAATGCCCAATGTTTTGCAGCATATTATTTATTTTTTGGTTTGACTTTTTTTTCTTTGTACATGTGACATTAAAATCACTAAAATTTGTTTAAACAAAATAATTTATCTCTGTTGGACTTTATTTTTTCTCTTTAGTAAAGTTAAAAAAAAATCACTCAAAAATATGTAAAACATTTTAGTATAAGATGTTTTGTTGATCATGGAAAGGAATCTTCAATAGTTGCAATTTAAAGCACTAAGCCTACTTGCTTATTAAAGTTGGATAATTTATTTATTTTTTTTTAGTTTATTCTGCAAGTTGGCTTCCTTACTACGGGAAAAACTTAGTGTCTTTGGAAGTGAAGCTCGTATTTCTGTTAGATGCTTGCAAGTTCTTATACGAGCCACTGATGCCAGGTGTGTCTATTTGTCATTCCCTGCTGAATTAAATCACACACACATTATTTTTATAACACATATGATGACTAACCTACCATTTCCAGTCAGATAGAATATCAATTTATATTTTAAGAAACCTATTATACAAATATTTGTCTTCAAATGTTTAAAGTTAATGATTTTTATCATTTAAGATCATTTTAGAAAATATCTTGACTTCTTTGCAAAAGTTTCCTAAAATCTCCTAATCTATTTAAAGTAAAATCAATTGAACTTTCAACTTTTTTTCTTATTTCATAAATTGTGTCTATATTCTACCTGTTTACTGCGGTTAGCTAACTTTTTCTGATTGTTGATTTTCCACTGTTAGTATTGTATATATATATATATATATACACCCAAATAAGCTATATTTTATATATTTCCAAAACAGTTATTTTAAGATACTTAAAATATCTGTTGAGAAAATTAATTATGATGAAAATGAGAAAAAAAAGATCCATAAAACTGTCTTCACTCGTTTAATTTTCATTCTTCAGAACCATCACCAAGAATTGTCCAGACTTCGTAAAAACATCAATGCTGACATTTTTCAACAATTCAGCTGAAGACCTTGCCCAAACTGTAGTGAATCTGCAGCAAGGAAAGTACAGCCACTTACGTGGAACTACGATGAAGACCTCTTCTTCATTGAACTATGTCCAGTTAGTTCTTTTGCCTGTTTTGACATCTATGTTTGATCATCTAGCAGCATGTGAATTTGGCAGTGATTTGCTGTGTAAGTCTTCTTCAAAAGTTAAGTTTTTACCATTACATGTAATACAGTTCTTTAATCTCTATCCTAACAGAATATATAACATAAAACATTTATATATATAGTGAATTAAAAAATTTTTTTCTCTCATTATAAATGATGTAAATATTTATCTTCATATGAAAGAACATACATATTAAAGGAAAAGCAAAGTTGATTTAATAATTTAAAAAATGGAAAATATTTTTTCTGCCTTTAAAAATGTTTAGTTGTGTAAATGAATACAAATTATTTATAAATTAATAACTTTTTCTTTATACCACCAGTGGATGATATCCAGGTAGCTTGCTACAAGATCTTGAACAGTTTGTACATTCTAGGAACAGATCCAGAATTGGGTAGTGACAGGTAATTAGGTGATAGGCTTTTGTGAGATGTGGTACATGAAAGTACAGGTTTACAAAACAAATCTTCTAAAATAACATACAACAGACTCTTTTGTTATGTAACAAATATTTGACGTTTTTGTTTTCTGACATATTTCATTTCATATTTTTTGTGTTGTTGTATGTAAGACTCTGTATAATGCAAGTATTTTATTTTTATGTGCATAAGAATAACACAAACAGGTGAAGATATTTCGCTTAAGTTCTGAAACTTAAGAAGCTTACTAAAAAAATACAAATAAATAAGATGTGTTTGTTTCATTGGCTGCTGGATTTATTTGCAAAAACTACTAATACCTAAAAGTATTAGTAGAATGATGATGTTATCTTGTATGTATGTTAATAGTCTATTAAATTTACAACACCAATAATGGATTTAAGAATATTATTAAATACATAATTCTGTAAACTGAGAAGTTAGTAGAAAACAATTAAGTTGTGGATAATGCAGTGAAATCCATATTGCCGTATTATTTAATGCTTGTTCAAATTAAGAAGTCTGTATTAATATATATAGTTATTTTTACCTAGGTTTTATTTATGGTTTTCTTTATTTTATTATTATTTCTTTTCATCATATTTTTATTTGTTTATTTATGTTATTTTATAATATGATATTTTATTTTACTTTATACCTTTAGGAGGTTTGTCAAGGCTGAGCGTGACAGGTACAGTTTAACTATGATTTCTTTAATGTTCTGTGTGTCCTTAAATTCAAAACAAGAACATATATTTGTGAATTAATGATATTTTATGGGTTGCATGTATTTATAGACATAGGATGTAATGTTACTGGAATTCTCATGTAGAAACTATAATAGTATACCAAAACATTTTTGCAACAATATAAAATAATCAGTTAACAGTACATTTAAGAAATTGGAGTTGTTCACTAAATGAAATCTGATAAGCTTAATGATTTTTATCATAGACATCGCCCAGCAATTGGAAACTGTCTTGGTGCCATGGCTAGTACTTTTCCTGTTGCGTTTTTGGAACCACATTTAAATAAGCATAATAAGTATTCTATTCATGGACGTCTTCAGGAACACTCCCTTGAAGCACAAGGTAAAGCTTTAGTAGAATTTTACATAAAATTAAACTTATTTATTATTTAATTATTTCATTCATATGTGCCTACAGAAGTATTCCATTAACCATTGTACATTGTACACAACATTAAGCACATTTTTATTTAAGAATAAGGATGCCTCTCCAAGAATAATAAATATTTCATTCATGGGTATCTCTAGAAGTATTCCCTTAAACCAAAAGGTAATTTTCTAATAGGTTTTACATAACATTAAACTTATTTGTTTGAGAATAGAGATGTCTCTTCGAGATTAGTAAATATCACATTCATGGGCTTTTCCAGAATATAATTTAAGTTTGAGGTAAGTTTTTAATAGATTTCATATAACATTAAACATTTTTTTTAAGAATAAGGATGACTCTTCAAGTATTTCATTCATGGACATCTCCTGAAGTGTTCTCTTAAATATAAAGGTAAGTTCTTTGTTTGTTTGTGTGAAGTTAAACTCAAAGCTACACAATAGGCTATCTGTGCTCT